TGTTAACGTGCTTTACCTCCGCTCAGCCCTCCCTGAGAGGTCTGCCCTCCGAGGCAGCTCTGCCGGCAACAATCCCGCGCGAGTGTTCTGCCCTCTGACACCCGCACCAGCTCTCTTCTCAGCACTCTGCCCCCGACACCTGAGTCCCAGCCCCAGGCTGGCACTCCCAGCGGCCTCCCCCGGCCCCGGGCTGGCACTCCGGGCGGCCTCCCCCGGCCCTGGGCTGGCACTCCCACCGGCCTCCCCCGGCCCCGGGCTGGCACTCCCACCGGCCTCCCCCGGCCCCGGGCTGGCACTCCCACCGGCCTCCCCCGGTCCCAGGCTGGCACTCCCAGCGGCCTCCCCCAGCCCCGGGCTGACACTCCGGGCGGCCTCCCCCGGCCCCAGGCTGCTCAGCTTAAACATGGAGTCCCGGCTCCTCTTTCTAACCCTTTCTCTAGAGCCAGGGTCACGAGCTCATGGGCCCCCGGGCAGGCAGGTGGGCGAGTGGTGGGTGGCAGGGAGAGCGGGAGACCACCTCAGCCTCCTGGGGGCAGCTGCGTCCCCTCCGGCCTGATCACCGTCCTGTGCCCACAGCCATGTGTGCCCAGGGGCTCCAGCTGCTCACAAGCTGGAAACTGGAATTCCCTGAGCCTTGAAGCATGTGGAGCCAAACAAAACCCCATCTGGAAGCAGCTTGGCCCAGGGGAATGCTGGTCACACGTTCTCTCTCTTGCCTCCCGATAAGTCCCTCCTTGTCACTCGAGGCCAGTGCAGGTGTCCGCTGTTCCGGGAAGGAGCAGGCGTGGTCCGTAAGTGCCTCTCAACCTGTGTGTCTGGTTCTCCAGGGCCTGGAATTCCTTGGCTGCATTAAGAAGCGCTTGCTCAAGCCCAAGGCTGTCTCGCTCTTCTCCAAACCCGTGGTGGAAGAGGAAGAGCCGCCCTGCAGCCCCAGCGAGAGTTCCATGGTGTTCTACGAGCCCACGCTGGACTGCACCCTCCGGCTGGGCCGCGTGTTCCCCCACGAGGTCAACTGGAACAAGTGGATCCACCTGTGAGGCCGCTGGCTCCAGCCGGCTGGGACTCGGAGAGGCCGCCGCCTGCTCTGCCCGCCTGGCCGGGGAGCGGCCGCGGAGACTTTGGCCCCTGCCACGCTCTTCCTCTTGTGCTGCAGACACGTTTCCGCTGCCAGCGAGCTGCCTGCCATCCTCTCTGAACCCGGGTGGTATGAGTCTGAGGCCCACAGGCTTCCGAGTGTCTGCCATTTGGGAGCAGCGCTGCTGCTTCGGCCTGAGCCTCCTGTGTGGACGAGCCTGAGTTGTCAGCTGCTGGCCAGTGGGGCCTGAGCTCTGGGCTTGGCTTTGCCCTGTCCGTGCACACCTGTGCCCCAGATCCCAGCGCAGGGCCTTGTGGGGACATGTCACAGAATAGAGGCTGTGTGCCCTGCCTGCCCGGGCCGGACGTCTGACCCCCGAGGCGGGGCCTGCCTCCGGAGAGGAGCCTGCAGGGCCGTTTAGCCTGGCAGGCCCCCGGCAGGCCTCCAGCCGGGTGGGCTCGCCCTCCTGCTGGCAAGAAACCCAGAGTCCCTGTAGGTTTGGGGTTTGTTTCATTTTTCAACATCTTTCTTCACTTAAAAAAAAAAAAAATCCTTTGGCATGTGTTTATTTATTGTCCGATTACTGTGAAGTAAAATGCATTTAGTTTTGTGTTTCCTGAAGCGTCTGTTCCTGAGGGAGTTCTTGTCTTCAGCTGCTTCACAGCGGGGAGTGGGTGTTCCCAGGGAAACCAGAGGACAAGGGGAGCTGGGCAGCTGGGCTGTGCGCGGCCACCCCCACGCCCCACCCCCCCAGCCGGCAGCAGCAATGCAGGCGTGCGGTCCATGAAGTTCTTTTACTTTAGTTGCCAGCATTTTAAAAAATTGGTTTCACATTTTTAGGTCAGAAGTTGGGACATGCCCCCCACACCCCAGTCAGCAGGGCGCCCCGGGTCTGGCCTCACAGCCACGGAAGCAGCCGTTCCTTCCAAAGCCAGCCGCCTGCACACGGCAGAGCTGCGGCGCTGGCCTGGCCGGACGTGAGGCCGTGCCACTGTCCTCCCTCCACCGGGACCGGCCCCCCCGGGCCTGGCCCCCAGGCCAGGAACGTGCGTCTGGAGTCCTGAGGGTGAACCTGCACAGCCAAGGCCGCACCATGTCTTAGCGTTATTTTTTTCTTCCTTTTTCATTTTTTTTCAAGTGTGAAAAGACAGTGTTTGGGGTGATTTTTTTCAGATCAAGTAGGATTGTGGATGTGGTCTGCCTTATAAACATCAAATACTTCCCAGTGCTGGTGATTTGGGGATGCGTCACGTGCTGGAAGGGAGTTTGGGCATGGTGACACTCACATCCCAGACATTGGTCACTCAGTGCCTCCCTCCAGAGGGCAGAGGGGCTGAGGATCACCGAGGGCCACCGGCAGGGCTCAGCGGTTCATTGCCTTCCCGTGCCTGAGGGGGGCGCTTTGGGCATGTGGTGGGGAGACTGGACACGAGGACGAGGATGCACCTCAACAGAGCGATGGGGCTTCCTATGGTGACCTGCGCGGTCCACAGCCAGCCCCCCCCACCCCCCCACCCCCGCCCAGTCCTGCTGCTGCCAGCCTCCTGCGCCCTCCTCTTGGGCTGCCCATACCCCTGGGCTGAGAGATCCCTGTCCTCTCACTTCCCCTGACCACCCCTCCTTCCCTTAGGCCTTTGACCCACTCTGCTAGGGTTTTCCAAGTGTGAGCGTGCATGTGTATGTATCCCTATGTGTGTGTGGGTGTGTGTGCCCCCGTGTGATCTCCCCGCTCAGTGATCTCACCACCTGCCAGTTCACCGTGGTCCTCGTCACCATGTTCCCCTCACAGAGGCTGTCTAGGGCCACCTGAGCGCTGGCAGGTGCAGGGGGCGTCGCCTGGGCGGCAGAGCCAGCCAAGTGGCAGTGGCCACAGCAGGCAGCGGCAGCAGCCCAGCTTCTGTCCCTGCTGCCTCACCGTAGTCCAGTCTGTAGGCTGAGCTCAGTGAAAGCTTACAGGCTGGTGTGATCTTCCCACAAAAATGATGGCAGTGGTAACATTTTCTTACTTGAAATGTGCCAGATGCTGTTTCTGGCACTTGTCTCAACAGGCAGGCAGACAAAAAGGTACGGCCAATCTGCATACCCATTTCCCATCTGAGGAAACTGAGGCCCGTGGAGGTCCAGTGATTTTGCAAGGTTGGAAGCTGGTAAGTAGTTCTGCCGGCTTTCCAGCTCAGACCTTCCTCCCTCAAAGGCCGCCTCCTTGACACCACTTTCCAGGGCCAGGGTCTGGTCTGGGGGAGGGAGCCAGCATATTGCTGGGAGACCCTTAGATGGCAGAACGCAAAGGTTTTTTCTCTGGGGCCATCAGTTTTTTTAAAGAAGACATTTGTTGCCGGTAGGGATGGGAAGACTTAGCTGCCCCATGGGGTGAGCAGGGGGGGAGGGGCTCACGCCATGACAGACTCCCGAGAAGACCTGTTTTCATCACTCTGTCCTGTCTCGTTCTATGACATTCTAGGTCTGGGCCCTCTCTCCTCCCAGCCCACTGCCATTTCAGTCACTAGCCTGCTGTTAATTAACTCATCTAATATTTCTTAGTACCTGCTATGTGCCACACTATTCTAGACTCTGAAGCAGCAGGGAATAAAATAAGCCCTGTACTAGTGGGACAGAGTGACAATGATAAATGAGTGAAAGCATCATAAGTGTGGGACAAACTAAGTGTGGGAAGTGGGGGCTGCAGTTTTGAGTAAGGGACCCGGTGCAGGTCCCTCTGAGGTGACGTCGGCAAAGTCCTGATTCCTTTCCTTTCTTCTCCCATGGCCCTCTCTGCTGAGCACTGAGACTCCTGGCTCTGGCTGTAGTGAATGGGCTCCTGGGACGGAAATGCCTGACGGCTGGTGCACCTCACAATTCCTATTTGGCTTTCAAAGTTCACCCCATCCTCCCTGCAGCCCCCACGTTCCCCTTCGGATGCCCCTCTTGGTGTCCCAGGACTGGCCCAGCCCAGGCAGGAGAGTCAATAGTGCACACCCCTTCCCAGTTCCATGCGTGGTCACTAGGTCGGTGCTTGAAATTGGCCATGGTGGAAGTATTTACACCATGGAAATGAGCAAACGCTACAAATCAGGCTTTACTGAGTGCCTCCTATGTACCAGACTGAGGAGAAAGCAGTGAACAAAACAGTCCTTCCCTCATGGAGCTTCTGTTGGATCTATCACCTTCGTCTCTAGAATCTGTTTATCCCTATCCATCCATCTATCCATCCATCCATCCATCGAACGATCCTTTAAGCTTTTGCATCTGTCTCTCCATCACTTATCCATAGTCACCTACCAATGTGCCTGTAGGTCCAGCCATCATCCAGCCACCTAGCCCCCTCCTGCCCCTCCACCCTCCCAGGTGGCCAGCTTCTGCCTTCATGTTGCACCCAGGTATGTGTATGATCTGAGCTCTGTCAAAGATGGAGTCAGTCAAGAGCGATGTCTGGCCCCGGTCAGAGCCCCGGGCCAGCCAGGGACCTGGCATCAGTCAGCCTGGAAGTCCCCCTCCCCCAGCCTCCAGCTGTGTGTGGAGAGCTGAGCAGCTGCCCTAGGGGCCCAGGTGGCTCCTAGAACCTGCTGCCCCCAAGAGGGTGAGAAAACCACCCAGGCCAGGTGTCCCCGGGGTGACGGGGGGGGGGGGGGGGGGGGGGTTGAGGGCTGCTCACACATTTGCAGGGGCTGTGGTTTCACACTGGTGCTGCCATCAAGCCACATACAACCGAATCCAGGTTAATAGTTCCACTATGGAAACCGTCCATGTTCTAGAACTTTCCACACCACGGACTCGTGTGTTCTCCCAGCGACTTTTCCCAACCGCCCCGTTTTACAGAGAAGTCCCAGAGAAGCTCTCAGGTGGACCAGCTCCTAGCTCAGACTTGCCTAAAGGAGAGACAGCCAGAGCTGCCTGCTCAGGATGGGTCTTCACAGGCACCCCCGGCCTGGGAGGGTGACGGGGGTCCCGGTGGGGTTCCGGTCTGGGTGGGGGTGCCCTTCGGGGCCCTGGCGTGGGCTCTGAGCCACCTCCCAGCTGCCTTCACCATCCGGAGGGTCCTGAAAAGACACCTCCAAAGGTCAAGGCCCTTAGGGGGGAAACAGTCCATTTTCTTTTAAAAAAATAAAAGCGAGGGGAGTGCGATATGTAGCGTTTGTATTCAGCGCCTGGTTCAGGACGAGCCCTCAAACACGGCTGAGAACTGTTTTCTTGGCTTCTTAATTCACATCTCAACGGACTTCCAAATCATCAATAGAGCTTGGCTCCCTAACTCGCGAGGTGAGCAAATGGGAGTGCTGTGTCCTGACTGCCCATTCCTCCGCCCCTGGCTCCACCCGGAGCGCCAAGGGGCTCCCTGGGCCTGTGCTCCCCTGCCCCAGCACTGGGCACCAAGCCCGGCACGCACTGTGCTCAGTGCGTATTTCCTGGGTGCATAAAGGCACTTAGATATGGGCAGAAGGAGCCAGAAAAACATTCTGGTGGGTGGGAGGCTGTCTCAAGAGACAAGCCTGACTGATTTTCAGCCCGGAAACACCTCCTCCCCCTCCCTCTCCTCCTCCCCCCGCCGTGCCCCTCTGCAGGGCGGGGTGGCCACAGGCCCAGGCTGAGGCTGCTTCCTCGCCCCCTCCCGCCTTCAGCACGAGCCTTGGTCCCACCTCGGAAGGAAGGAAGCTGGCATTTATTGAGGGTCTGCTCCGGGCTGCACACTAGGTGGGCGGCTGCACTGGTTTCTCCCCGAGGTCAGCCATGCCACCCACATTGTCCAGAAAGGAAACCCCAGCCCGGAGCGGGAGCAGCACCCCGCGGTGGCACAGCCAGCAGGCGTCAGAGTGGAGGCTCAGACCTGCTACAGGCCCCCCCCTGTCCCCAGGGCTTCCAGCCTGGCCTCCCTGTGGCTCCTGGAGGGGCGGGACCCAGGGGCGGGGCCTGGTGTCTGTCACAGGCAGCGTCCTGGTCCCAGGAGGCCTGTGGGCAGCCCTGGACCAGATTCCCCAATGTGACCCAGGGGCCAGCCCATGTGCCCTGCAAGGAGGGAGCCTGCCACTGTATGCACACACATGCATGCCACCGTGCACACATGCGTGCGCCCCAGAGGCATACACACAGCATCGACTCCAGGCTCAGGGCCCCTGGAGACCAGAGGCCGCGGGCCTCTTCCCACCACAGCTCGGGCGGCCCTGCCTCGCCGCCCGGGGCACGGCCGGTTCTGAACGGCCGCCGGCCTCACTAGCTGGCCTGGGGCCCCGGCCCCGGCCCCGCAGGCGGAGGGGCCATGACCACCCACTGGCGGAGGTAGCTCCTGGGGGGCCCCTCGTCCCTGGAGCCGGTGAAGTCGCACTCCACGGGGCTGCCGCAGTCAGAGCCCGCGAAGCCGCTGTCGAACGTGTCCATGTCCAGGCCGGCCGGGGGCGAGCCCGCCTCGCTGTCAGACGCCCCTCGGGGCGGCCCCGCGCCCCAGGGCGGCCCTGGCGCCCAGCCCGCCTCGTCTTCGAGGGGCAGCATCAGTTTGCCCAGGAGGCCGCCCAGGGGGCCCCCCAGCCCGGCAGGGCCGCCGGCCCTGCCGGCCGCCACACAGCCGCAGGACAGGACCGCGGCCCCCGGGCCCAAGAGCGGGTCCTCGGCGCCCGGGCCGGGCTCCAGGCCGGCGTCCAGGTTCAGCGGGGGGTAGCCATCCTCCCCGCAGGTGCAGGGCCAGGCGCACGGCTCCTCCGCGCCCACCACAGTCACCGTGTCGATGGACACCAGGCCATAAGGCCGGTCGCCCTCCTGGCTGTACGCTGAGCTGCCCGCACTGCCAGTGCTGGGTGCGGGGCCCCGGGAGCCCGGTGCCGGCTCCAGCTCCGGCTCCGGCTCATGGGCGCCGTCAGTTTCCACCAGATCCGCAGGCGCGGGCAGCACCGTGGTCTCCGGCCCCGGCGCTGCGCTCGGTGGGGGGCCGCCGTGGTACATCTCCAAGGGCGAGGGCACCCCGGGGCCCCAGGGGTGCAGGTCCAGGCTGGAGGCAGTGAAGGGCGTGCCCACCCACTTCTGTGGGAGAGAACGGAGAGGGTCATGCATGGGGCGGGGGCCAGGGAGGGTGTAAACGCAGACCCTGGGTGGCTCGGTGGCCTGCAGGGGCCAAAATTCCTCAGTCGTGTCACATGGGGACCAGAGACCCCGAGGTCTGAGCGATAGAGCCCCCTGACCTGTCCCTGTTTTAGTTCCTAAAACCCAGCACTCTCCCGTTTGTGTCCCCACGGGAGTGGACACTCGGCCAGGGCACAGGTCCCGGTTCTCCTGGTCACAGCTGCATCCCCGAGGCTCACACACAGCCCGGCACACGGCCAGCGGCCAGCAAACGTTTAACGGAACGGGAGACCGGGTGGAACGGCCTGTGTGTGCACGGCGGCCAGGGCTGTGGGGCCCTGAGGGACGGAGGCAGCGGCCCCTGAGCACTGAGGACCCCCCTCTGGGCATGGAGTTCCCACCCAATGAGCAGGGAGAATCCCTGAGAGCTGGAACCTTCTCGACGTGAGCCCACCGCCCTCGGAAAGCTCTCCGAACGCGGGTGTGGCCGCCTCCACTGCTTTGAAGTCACTTCTCAGCTGCGTGGCCTTACTCTCTGGACCTCCCTGCACTCTGTGGAGTGGGCCTGCACGGAGCACCCTCGGGGCTGCTGTGAGCGTGACATGGGTTACCAGCTGCCCAGGACACAGCCAGGGCTGTGTGTTCGGGTAAAGGGGATACGAGCTAGAGGGACGTCAGAGGCTCCAGAGGGAGCCCAGGGGAGAGGAGGCGTCCATCCACGCAGGCTGGCATCCACGCTCCTGTGCCGCCCACTATGCCATCTGAGCAGGTCTCCTCCCAGGCCCGGGGTGGGGCCCGCCCTGCAGGGGCTGCGGGAGCTGTGGGTGCAGCCAGAGCGCTCGGAGCAGCTCCAGGCAGCTGGCAGGAGCTCAATCAAGGCGCCAGCCCGCACTTCCTGACTTCCAGGCTCCACCTCACCACATCCTCTCTGTGGGCCCTTCCCGCCACCCCAGAGGGTGCTGAGCGGTAAATGGGCCCAGAGAACGTGGGCACCGCGTGGCTGTCCTGGCTGAAGCTTGTGGGGGGTAGGGGGGTGCACTTTGCAGGCGGTCCGTCCCTTTCCACAACCTGCTCCCTCTCCACCCTCACACCAGGGCGACTAAGAACCAGGAAGCCAACGTGTGGCCAAAGGGTGCCCCCCACCCCTAGTTGGCCCCTGGGGCTGCATGATCTTGGTGAACTCTGCCCTGGAATTACTTCCTGCACTTGGCAGATGCCAAGACCGAAGTCTGGCTTCTGGTCTGGCTGGGCCTGCAGCTGGGGCTGGGGCTGGGGCTGGGCTGGGGCTGGGGCTGGGGCTGAGGCTGGGGCTGGGGCTGGGGCTGGGGCTGGGGCTGGGGCTGGGCTGGGGCTGGGACTGGAGCTGGGGCAGGGCTGGGCTGGGGCTGGGGCTGGGGCTGGGGCTGGGGCTGGGGCAGGGCTGGGCTGGGGCTGGGGCTGGGGCTGGGGCTGAGGCTGGGGCTGGGCTGGGGCTGGGCTGGGCCTGGGGCTGGGGCTGGGGCTGGGCCTGGGGCTGGGCTGGGGCTGGGCTGGGACTGGAGCTGGGCTGGGCTGGGGCTGGAGCTGGGCTGGGCTGGGACTGGAGCTGGGCTGGGCTGGGGCTGGGCTGGGCTGGGGCTGGGCTGGGTCTGGGCTGGGGCTGGGGCTGGGGCTGGGGCTGGGCTGGGGCTGGGCCTGGGGCTGGGGCTGGGGCTGGGCTGGGCTGGGGCTGGAGGTGGGGCTGGGCTGGGGCTGGAGGTGGGGCGGGGCTGGGACTGGAGCTGGGCTGGGCTGGGGCTGGCTGGGCTGGGGCTGGGCTGGGTCTGGGCTGGGGCTGGGGCTGGGCTGGGGCTGGGCTGGGGCTGAGGCTGGGCTGGGGCTGGGGCTGGGCCTGGGGCTGGGGCTGGGGCTGGGCTGGGCTGGGGCTGGAGGTGGGGCTGGGCTGGGGCTGGAGGTGGGGCTGGGCTGGGGCTGGGCTGGGGCTGGGGCTGGGCCTGGGGCTGGGGCGGGGGCTGGGCTGGCTGGGGCTGGAGGTGGGGCTGGGCTGGGGCTGGGCTGGGGCTGGGCTGGGCTGGGGCTGGGGCTGGGGCTGGGCTGGGGCTGGGGCTGGGGCTGGGCTGGGGCTGGGGCTGGGCTGGGGCTGGGGCTGGGGCGGGGCTGGGGCTGGGGCTGGGCTGGGGCTGGGGCTGGGGCTGGGCTGGGGCTGGGGCTGGGCTGGGCTGGGGCTGTGGCTGGCTGGGCTGGGGCTGGGGCTGGGGCTGGGGCTGGGCTGGGGCTGGGGCTGGGCTGGGGCTGGGCTGGGGCTGGGCTGGGGCTGGAGGTGGCTCCGGAGAGGGTAAGAGGCACCAGGGGGTGGTCGGTGGGGCTCTCACCTTGAAGTTCCCGCTGTGGCTCACATACAGGTGCTGGAAGAACGGCTCTGGGCTGGGCACCTGCACCCACACCTTCCACAGCCTGGGAGGGCAGAGCGAGGTAAGCCCCCCATCTCGCGGAGGGCAGCCGCCTCCCCCTCAGAGGCTCCCCCACTTTGTCCTACAGGCGTCTCAGTGCCTCCCAAGACACACCCAGTGACTCCTTTCCACCCTGTTCCCCCCCCCACCCACCCACCCATCCCACTCCCGCCCTGAGCTGCAGCGCCCACATCTGTACACTGGCAGCAAGTTGCCCACGGCTCCTGAAGGCACAGGGCTCCGCCGCCCATGTGCTTGGCAAGCGCTGCCCCTCTGAGCCCCAACCCCTCCTCTAGGACCAGGTGGGCAAAGGGCCAGCTCCGCAGGGATGTGGGGGACTCGGGGGTGCACCTGGCACCCAGAACCAGGAGCACCCAGCACCGAGCACCAAGCACCAGAAGCGCCCTGAGCCCCGGCACTGCCTCCGGCTCTGAGTCTCTAGACTAGGGGTGTCGAACTCAATCAGAGAAGGGGCCAAAATCTAAAATCCAGCCTAAATCGGGGGCCGAATGGTTTACTGAACAGTCATAAACTGTCATTGTGATGGAAACGCAGCGGAGTGCAGTGATGACAGCGCGGTGCGGGCCACATTGCAAGGCCTGGCGGGACGGATTTGGCCCGAGGGCCTTGTGTTTGACACATGTGCGTCACTAGACCCCGCTCTAGACGGAGAGGACCAGGCGGTGCTGCCGCCGGGCGAGGCTCGGCACCGGCACCGGCCGCGCTCTGGAGGCCGGGAGCCCGGGGTGGACTTGCCACCAGCAGCACGTTCCTCTCCAGGACCGTGTCCAGCACAAACCAACACACAACAGGTAAAAGCAAAGCCTCGGGTGGAAGCAGAGCAGGTGGGGCTGGGTCACCCCCTGGCAGTCCCCCGCGCCCCCAGGTCAAAGCTTAACATTCACTGACACCATCACAGCTGAGGCCACTGTTAAGAGCACAGGGTTCAGCCCTGGCCCATGGCTCAGGGTTAGAGTGTCGGCCCGCACATCAAAGGTTCAACTCTCCATCAAGGACACGGACCTGGGCTGCAGGTTTGATCCCCAGCCCTGGTTGGGGCATGTGTAGGAAGCAACCAATGGATGTGGCTCTCTCACACTGATGTTCTCTCTCTCTCTCTCTCTCTCTCTCTCCCCGCCCCCCTCCCTCCCTCCCTCCCGACCTCCCTCCCTCCCTCCACTCTCTCTAAAAGTTCAATGGAAAAAAGACCCTCCAGTGAGGATTCACACACACACACAAAGGCCCGCCTCCTTCCCTCCATCGCTGTGTGCATGGAGCACGGTCCTTGCCGGCTCCGGGCCTCAGAGTCCTGATTCGTCCGCGGAGGCTTTGCCTGCATCGAGCTCACGGGGCGGCTGTGCGGGCTGAGCGGGCGCCCAGCACGTGGGGAAGCGGGAGCCGGCCGTGGTCACCACCACCGTCACTACCACTGTCCACGGCGGCTGTGACCGGCCCTGGGCGGTCCCAGAGGGGCTGCAGCCCAGGCTGACCCCATCCCCACCGCCCCGAGCCCCGGCCTCACCTCCAGGGCAGGCGGATCTTCAGTCCCAAGTAGACGAGGATGGGGAGCGTGAGGACCAGGAAGAGGCAGAGCAGGTCCGCGTGCCAGCCTCCCTTCGGCTCTGGGGAGGAAGCGCACGGGGTCACACGGAGCCCGCTACAGGGGCACGCGGCGGGCGCGGTGGGCGGGGGGTCTGGGTGCAGTGGAAGGCTTCGGTGCCTTGAAGGGAGATGGATGGGGGTTCAAATCCCCCTCCCACCCCACCCCGGGAAAGTGACTTTATCTTGCCGGGCCTCGGTTTGCTCATCTACAAAATGGGGACAATGATGCTTACTTCACAGACCGATAGGCGTGCGCACAGCCTGCCGGGAGAAGCCCCGGCACCCCATGCGGGCCTGGCCAGCAGGGGCTCCCGGACTGTGAAATGGCCACCCCGGGGGTGCCCAGCTGGACATCTCGGGGCTCAGGACAAGGGGTGGCACAGAGTGGTGTCCACCCCGCCTCCCGCCTACCTGCCGGCTGGGTGTGGAAGAGGACCGGGTCGCTCCACTCGCTCCAGGCCCCCCGGAAGGAGGAGCCGGGCTGGGGCCCCGCCCGCACCTGCAGCTCGTAGCTGGAGCCTGCGTGGAACTCCAGGGGCAGGAGGGCGACGCTCCGCACGTCCACGGAGACCAGCTTCCTCCCCGGAGGCTGCGGTGCAGAGAGGGCCGCGCTGTCAGGGCGAGCAGACGCCTGGCCTCCGGCAGGCCCCACCCAGCCCCCTCCCGAGTCCGCACTCCCTCCCTCCCTCCCTCCCCGAGAGCCAGGCCCCACACGATGCTGTGTTCACTCTCTCTGATCCCACACAGGAGCCCTCCCTGCCGGGACAGGGCTGCCCAGGAGCAGCAATGGCCACTCCTGGCCGCGTTCCAGACAGCAGGCATCTATCTGGACAGCGGGCGTCTGAGAGGCTCTGCCACAGGTCTTAGCTGTGGACACCCCGGGGACATTGCACACAATGTTCTTCCCCGGGGACATTGCACACAATGAAAACCTCCAGCTGGGACCATCCTAAAGGGTAGAGGAGGCTAAAGTGCTTCTAAGCAGCGGCCACACGGGACTCTCTGGCACCTCGACAGAGGACCCTGGGCCTTCACCCTGGAAACAACGTCCTTCTGGCCCCGGACTTTTTGGTTATGGAAGTTTCTGAAACTCCTCAACTATGGCTGTCCTAAGTGAAGTGGGGCGGCCCCAAACCCCCACTTCTGAAGCAACCCCTGTTGCCAGACGTGAGGCGGGGCCTGCCGAGGCGCCAGCCCCTTCCTCTGGCAGCTGTGCAGAGGAGACGGGAATGGAGAGGGGACGGGAATGCAGAGGAGACGGGAACAGGAAGGAGATGGTTCTAAGGGGTCTCCTACCCTGGGGAGGAGGGGCGGGGCAGCATGAGGGCTCCGTCCTGGGTGTGACTGGGTGTCCACTCTTGGCTGTGAAGGACCAGCTCACCTGTCTCCCGGGCACTCCCCTCCCACACCCGGATGGCTGCACACACCCCAGCCCCCGGCCCCCCGTTCTCTGCAGGCTCACCTGCGCCCAGGGGTCTCCCCGCTTCCTGTACTGCAGCTCGTACTGCAGTTTGCCCCTGAGCGGGTACGCGTCGCTGGCGGCGCTCCAGGAGACGTTATACTGTCCCGAGAAGGTCACGGTCACATTGGAAGGAGGCGACAGCTTGACTTAAAGAAAACAGCCAGGAGGATAGAACCGGTGAGATTTGTATTCGCTGACCAGGCTCTGGTGGCCCATCCTTTATGTGGTCAGGGTTAGCGGCCCTGGGCGGCTGGCTGAAGCTTCCCCTGGCCTCAGTTTATTCATCTGAAAAATGGGCTGCTTTGTGGGTTGCAAATTCGAAGGCTGCGGCGGGTGACAGGCCCGGGTGAAGCTGGTGTGGGTGCTGAGCTATAAAGAGCCCTCCCAGCGCACAGCGGCCGGGCAGGGACGCAGACCAGTGGCCAGGACGGGAAAACCCCGAGAGCCCAGATGACTGTAGAACTCTCTCCGATGTTCCCGTTAGCTACTGACCCAGAACCTTCCTAAGCCCCCTGTTGGCCACGCCCTCGGGTGGTCTAGTTCTGCTGTCAGCGAGGGGGTCAGTGCTTTGAGCCCCATCGGCCCTGGGACGTCCGAAGACTGGAATCAGCCCGCGTGGGGCTGGGAATGCTCTGCGGAACTCAGGGACACTGCGGGTCTGTCCTGCTGTGGCCAGAAGCTACCAGCTGAGAGCCCGACCCACAGTGGCCCTGAGTGTGCCCGCCCTCCCCTCACAGACACCTCCTGGAAGGTGTGAGAGCGGCGGTCTGGACCACACACTCGACCCCACACCCCCACACCCCCACATCTGTTTTCAACCTGAGCAGGACAGGCCACATTCCAGGCCCCATTTCCTCTCTGGGAAAAGGGCATCCGTTCCTGTCACACGGAGTGGAAGTTCAGGGCCCAAACGAAGCAGAGAAGGGGGTAACGCCAGGCAGCCGGGCAGGCTGCTCCTGCAGGGGAAGCGGGGCCTGTGCCCACTCCGCCTCCGCCGAGCCTGCCACCCCTTGGGGATCTGAGCTCGGGGCAGAGGGTTAGATCTCCTGGGTCAGTGCCGTGCCTGCACTCCGAGACAGAGCCCGGCACACAGTAGGCCCTCGCGGAGTGTCTGTCAAACCCAGATTCCCAAAGGAGCTCTGAAGCTGCCTCCGACGCCGCCCCGCTCACACCCATGCTGAGCGCTCTGTGGGGGCTGCTCTCTCTGCCGTGGGCCCCTCTGAACTGGAATAGCCCCTCAGCCCTCCTCTCTCTTCCCAGGCCGGCTGGCGCTGCCTGTCAGCGTCTTTGGGACCCATTCAAGGGGGATCTGGGGGAGAAACCAAAATGGCGGAATAGGTAGCTGCCTTATTGCAGCCTCACACAACAATTTCAAAAAATACAACTAAAATATAAAGTGGACATTATCCAGAAGTGCAGGAAAGTTGACTGACTGGAAATTCTACAACGAGAAGGACAGAGAAAACCAGACGGAAGATCAGAGGAGCTGTAAAAGCCTAAGGTACGGAGACACGTTGCATGCGCAGAGAGGATGGAGCCGGAGAGGAGGGGCTGCTGAGTGCCTGGCTGGCGTTCCCTAGCGGGAAGGAGATAAAAGCTCCGAACTGTGCTGAACCCCAGTTCTGACAGCACTGAACCCCAGTACTGAGCGAGACCCTCAGGCCCCAGGCTCATACAGAGGGAATCTGGGCTGTAAGGCGGAAGCTCAGGGGAGCTGCAAAAGGTAGAGCCCCCCAGTTGCACACATTGTGCGCAGAGGACAGACTGTTGATTGAGCCTCTGGATTGCCCTAGCAGCAAGGAGACAAAAGCTCCGACTGCTCTTAACCCCACTTCCAACTGCACAGAACCCCAGTTGCGCGCTTGTTGGGGGAGAGACTAGACTGTCTGGTAGCGGGCGAAACTCTAGGGCACCTTTCTCTCAGAGGTGCTTGCAGCAAGTACCAAAGGACACTGAGGAACACTGAGGGCTAACCGGAAGCCAAGGCTGTAGGCTCCACCCTGAAACTCCGCCCCATCCAAGCTGAACACAGAGGCTCTTGCAGTTTTCCAAGTCCAGTTGAATAAGGCTGTCTCCTGGCATAGATACAGCTGATCCTCCCACCCTACCAACTCAGGGAAGCACCAAAAATGCCGAGACAAGGAAACAGATCACAAATGAAAGAAATGGAAGACAAAAAGCAACTGGATATAGAGTTCAAAACCATGCTTATAAGGTTTTTCAAGAATCTCCTAGAAAAGGCCAATAAAATAAACAAGACCTATGAAGATATGAAAAAGGATCAACTAGAAATAAAGAATACATTCTCTGAAATAAAAAATATTATACAGAGTCCTAAAAACAGAATGGAAGATTGCAAGAATCAAGTCAAAGATTTGGAACACAAAGAACTAGAGGATACTCCTCCAAAGAAGCAAGAAGACAAGAGAATCCAGAAAGTTGAAGATAGTGTAAGAAACCTCTGGGACAACTTCAAGCGAACCAACATCAGAATTATGGGCATCCCAGAAGATGACAGAGAGCAAGATACCAAAAACATATTGAAAGAAATCGTGACAGAAAACTTCCCCCACCTGGTGAAAGAAATAGACTTACAAGTCCAGGAAGCACACAGAACCCGAAACAAAAGGAATCCAAAGAGGACCTCACCAAGACACATCATAATTAAAATCCCAAGAGCAAAAGACAAAGAGAGAATATTAAAAGCAGCAAGAGAAAAGCAGGTAGTTACCTATAAAGGAGCACCCATACAATTTCTAGCTGATTTCTCAACAGAAACTATGCAGGCCAGATGGGAATGGCAAGAAATATTCAAGGTGATGAATAACAAGAACCTACAGCCAAAAATACTCTACCCAGCAAAGCTATCACTCAGAATCGAAGGCCACATAAAGAGCTTCACAAATAAAAAAAAGCTAAAGGAGTTCATCACTGCCAAACGAGAATTATATGAATTGCTAAAGGGGGTTCTTTAGGAAGAGGAAGAAAATAAAGATAAAAATTATGAACAACAAATATGTAACTATCAACAAGTGAATCTAAAAACCAAGGGAATTAAAAAACCTGATGAACGATATTAACTGTTGAATATAATAGAATCAGAGGTACGGAAGGGGAGTGGACTGACAATTCTCGGGGGAAAAGAGGAGTAGGGGGTGCGGGAAGAGACTGATCATAAACTGTGCACCTAAGGATGAGGACAGTGCGGGGGGAGGGCAGAGGGTGGGGTGCAAACCTGGTGGAGGGGGAAAAAATTAGAAACTTTTGTAATAATATGAACAATAAAGATTTATTTAAAAAAAAAAAGGGGGGGGGGCTTTTTAAGAATCTCCCAGGGCCCCGGAGGACCCAGGGGCTGGGGAGGCTGCCTGGGGCAGAGTGCTGCCTCCTTCACCGCCGAGCACAGGCCTGGCCTCAGACCCGGGCAGGAGGGGGAGAAAGGGCCGGAGAAACGCCAGGTGCAGGGGCAGCCCTGCCCTGTGCCCTCCTCTGCCGGCCCAGCTCTCAGGGAGATAGGAGGGCACCCCTGCTGGGTAAGCCACCACACCTGGATCTGAATGCTGAGTGAGTGTGCATGTGTGCAGACATGTGCATGTGTGTGCATGTGTGTGCATAAACATGAGAATGTGGGCTTCTGTGTCTGTGCTGTCTAAGCCAGGGGTTGGGGGGAGTTATGAGTGTGAGTGTGTCCGTGTGTGTGTGTGTGTGTGTGTGTGTGTGTGTGTGTGAGAGAGAGAGAGAGAGAGAGAGAGAGAGAGAGAGAAAGACAGAGACAGAGAGAGAGTCTGTTGTGTCTGGGGGATGTGAACCTTTGCTCACATGCTCTGTGGTGTGACATCCACTCAGCAAAGTGGCACAGACCTGGACCCCCAGAGTGAGAATGGCAGACACCTGCTTATCCCTCCCCCCTCTGCTGGGTCCTGGAGGCAGAACCTGCCCAACCTCAGGGCTTGCTCCTTCCTGAGGGTGGGATTCCCGTGGCAGTTCGTTTTTGCAAGCCCCGGGGGACAGGATTCTCACTTCCTGGCTGGGCACCCCGCTTTGCGCACACATCTCACTAAGGCTGCCTCCGGCCCGGCCCTGCCCCGCCCTGGCCCTGGCCCCACACTGACAGCTGCCTCCACCAGGTGCCTTCTGTCCCCGCCTCCTCCCTCCCTCCTGGAGCTGATGATGGGAGGAAACTTGGGGGGCTTTCTCTTGTGACTCAGCGTCCCCCGCTTACCTCATAGTGGGAGACAATCCCAGCGGGCAGAGCTAACAGGGCTCTCGTTCTGCTGAGCAAGGTCCCCGGGCCGAACCAGAGCCGCCGCCCCAGGCCCAGGCCCGGCAGCCCCTGCACCCCTGGCTGCCTGTCAGTGGTTCAGGCCAGGCCCAGCGGCCACCCCACGCCAGCAAACACCGCACCGGCAGGGCCAGACGCCAACAAGAGGCCGGGCAGGGGACAGGAGTGCGGGGCCCCGCCCTCCCGGTCCTCCTCCTCGGGACACTCACTGCTCTCGGCCAGGACGAAGCTGCCGCACTCCTGGGAGCGGTTGCCAGGCGGGTCTGTCATGTTGACACTGAAGATGTCGTCGGCCATGAAGCGGAACACGTCCATGCGGCACCTGTACTCGGCGTGCGTGGCGTTGTGCGCCGCCCGGAGCAGGCTGCAGGAGGTGACCTCGTCCTCTAGCTCTCCGTACGGGTCGTCCCTTCGAGGACAGAGCGGCCGGTCACGGCGCGGCCGGTGGGGCTGGGTGCACGGGAGGGGCTGGCGGTGGGGCTGGCACTCATCTAGTCCAACCCACCCTTCCCCGGGGAAGGTGTACCCTCCGCCGGAGCGTCCCCGGTGGATCAGTCCAGGCTCCAGGCGTGCACGCCTTCACGAGACCAGAACTCGCTACGTCACTCAGAGCAGCAGCTCTCAACCTCAGAAGCGGGGCCGTTCTCGCCTGAATGTCTTCCAGCTCGGTCCCTGTCCCTCCCATCGCCGGGATCACTGTCCTGCAGGCCTCCTTCCCACTCTCCTCCCCTCCAAACTCCACCCAACACCAAGCCAGGAGCCTCACGGAGCACTCGCTGTGCTCCGAAAGCATCCTGCTGGCCGCTGTGTGTGTGTCTGTCCCTCCGGTCCCTCCCGCCGCCGTGTGGCAGCGCCAGGACACCGGGACCTCGCGGCGGGGCCTCTGGTGAGTCACCGGCTCCCACCAGGCGGGAGTGTAACCAGTGCTCTGTGTGAGCGGCCGAGGGAGTGGATGGTGGCGAGGTCTCCCGGTGACCACACTCCACAGAGCTCTCCTCAACGCGGCCCTGACTTTTGGGTTCCCGAGTCTGTTTCTGCATCGTCTACTCTGAGCGAAACTCCGGCTAAGTCAGTCCAGCCAGAATCCCACCCTCAGTACCGAGCTGGGTACCTCCTCCTCCTCCTCCTCTTTTTTCCCCTCCTCCTCCTCCTCCTCCAGCCCCAGGAGGTGTCTGGTCCCCCTGGGCTGCCTCAGCAAGAGCCCTGCTATCGCTTTAGCCGGAAGCCCTCTGACCCCTGATGTTTCCTCCTAGTGGTTTCCCTGCACTGACCCCTCCCTGCTCCTTGGCTATCAGCCCAGCTCTTCCTTGTGCTCCGAGTTGAGCCCAATCAGCAAAAGCCTGTGCAGCGGCCCCTAGCCTGTCAGGGTGGTCTTAGAGTCTGCCCCACCACCCTTGAACAAGTGTCATGAATGATTTTTGTTTTTGACAGCATGGACTTATTAGGGGCCCCTGGAGCTTGGGGGGTCAGGCTGGCTGTGTGACCTAGGGCAAGGTGAATAACCTCTCTGAACTCCAGTGCCCTGGCTTGTAAAATGAGAGTCACACTGGTGAGGACGGAGGTGGCCATTCATGCGAAGCACGTGGCGGGCTGCCTGGCACGGACTGAGTGCTCAGAAACACCGTATGGGAGGCCGGTCCCCTCGGCGTCTCAAAGCCAGCGTCAGGCCTGCGTGAGCGGCAGGGAATGGCCTCAGAGCTGGGCAGAGCGGCCCTGCGCCTCTCAGTTACTCTCTGCACAGGTGCCAGGAGCCCTGGGCGGTCACCTGCAAGATGGGCACAGGGATTCCCATCTCACCGTCCTTCTTGGGGTGAAACCAAATGCTGAGTGAGCCCCTGGGAAGTGGCAGCCCTTGTTGTTAGTTTAGTCCGGTTGTTATTGCTAAGCTACCTGCCTGACACACAGTAGGTCCAGCTCAGCTCCTGGTCTCCCGCGGTCCTGTCCTGGGCCCATGCTCCCCTGAGGCCCAGTCACTTACCAGGTGAGGGTGAGCATGCCGGGGGGGAGGGGCCCCATCTCCAGGAAGCAGGTGACCGTCTGGAAGTAGTCGGTGTAGCAGACGAGGTCTGAGCAGCCCCAGGCTGCAGAGCGAGGGAGAGAGAGGCCTTGGAGGGGCTGGGAGGGGCTGCAGAGTTCCTTGCTCCCCCCGGCCCCGCCCGTCCAGGGTGGAGGATGAGTGGAGGCGGGGCCCCAGGGCGAGTCAGGGACCACTGAGATGAGGGACTGAGGCAAGGAGGTCCTGGTCCCCCAAGATTCCCTGTCTGAGCCCCCACGTGTCAAGGCACTCCTAATGAGACGGAGCTAACTAAGCGGGTCATCTAACCTGTGTCCCATGTTCCACAAAATAAACGCAGTCAGTTTAGCTTTGTTTTAGAAGATCAAGTGCCCGCCCGTGCTGCTCTCCCTGCCTCCTGCCGTTTCCCAGAGATGTGTCCCCTGCTCACGCAGATTCAGGTTCCACGGCCTTTCCTGACTTTCCTGTCACTAATGGAGGCCCAGGTCAGAAGCGGGGCTCAAAGCCCGGCGCGCCCCCTGGAAATTCCTGGGGTCCGCCCTCCCCCTGAGCGAGCAGGCACTGCTGACGGACAGGACAGTCTCCCTGGGGAGGCCTCCGAGGCCTCCCCTGGCCTGGGCTGGGAAATGACTCCTGCTCTCGGCTCCCTGCTGGGGGAGGCAGGCCCTGACCCGGGCACTTTGAGGAGGATGAGGGCTGCTTCGGGATGGAGGTGAAATCAGGGGCCAGAGGGAGTAAAAAGCCCAGCCACCTGGTTGGCCCTGCCCCTGGGCCTGGCCTGTTGGGCAGCCACCTGTAAACGGGGGCCATGGCCCCAGAGGGCATGGAGGTGAGCATGTGCTATTATCACATGTGCAGCCCATGCTCAAGGAAAGCAGCAATGCCAGGTGACCCCAGGAGTCAGCAGACCTGTGACCTGCCCCTGAGCCTCTGGGAGCCAGTTTTCCCAGCTGAGATCTGGGCGGCACTTGGCACGGACCTGGCGGGCTGTGAGGAGTGTGGGCTGAGGCGGTGCTCCGCCCCCATGCACAGCGGGGCTTGCCCCTGGTGCCCACAGTGGGTGCTGTGGCGGGCACCCCAGAGGCCTGTGAGAGCCACGGCCGAGTGCGGCAGCTCAGCAAGGCCCAGGGCAGGAGCCTGGCACCTGTTTGCTGAAGGAGCGACTTGAGGCTCTAGGTCTCTAAGTAAAAACTGGGGAGGAATGCCGATGGTCATCGAGTGGCTGCAGAGGGCCCCTGCCCTCCCTGGCCAGCCCCATTGAGCCTGCGTGTTGCATCCCCCCGCCCCCCACCCCCTACCCCGGGCAGGCCTCCTGGATCTCTCAGCCCTGACCGTGCCCCGTGTCTATCTCCTGGCCTTCCCCAGCTCCATGTCTGACAGCTCTCCCCCCCACCTACAACTGTAGCTTCTCCAGAACCTTCGAGGTTCTGGCTACTTCGGTCCCCACCCCCTCTTCCCCACAGAGCATCAGTGTCTGAGGGCAGCCGGTGCCGGTGGAGGAACTTCCCCTGGGAGAAGCTGAGGTGGGACCAGAAGCAGGACTTCCTCACGGGGAGGGGTTGGGGGGCTGGAGCCCGCCGTGGCAGGCAGGGCCACGGGAATGCAGGGTGCCGTCTCCCAGCGCCCCTGTGGGCCCCCAAGACCCCAGCTGGGGCCGGGCTGCTTGGACCTGCCCGAACTTGGCTGATGAAGTGCTGTGGGTGGGTGAATTCTGGTTCGTGGAGAGCTGGCTGTTCCACCTGTGTCCGCCTCGCGTGGACGCGTGCTGTGGACTCTGACCCGGAGCCCACAGACCCGCCCGCCCGCCCGCCCTCCCGCTGAAGAGGCGGCGGCTACTCACCGCCCTGGAGCGCCAGCAGGAGCAGAGGGGCCGCCCAGCACCGCAGCATGCTGACTCCGGGGCCTGCAAGAGATGCACAGCAGATGGTGGGCCCCAGCCCGGGGACCAGGGGGCCTGGACAGCCTCCCTCTCCCCATCCCTCCCTCGGAAGACTTGAAAGATTCCTGAATGTGTCTCAGGAAAAGGAGATTTTGAAGAGCCCGAGGACTCGCTCAAGAACTCCTCCCCCTTAGAAACAAACAGCTCCCGTGGGTGCCCTCCCATTCCCCCCACCTTCCTCCGCCCCCCTCACACGGCCACACAGGACAGGTGCCTTCAATGTGGGAGGAGCTCGCTGCTCCCCACACGCTTAGTCCACGCTGCGTGGGATTAGCCGTGGGCATTGGCTCAGCTAGGGGAGGAGGGGCGGGAGGGAGGGGGCACTGGCTTGGAAAGAGCTACATAATGGGCAGCAATCCTGCGTGCTCCCTCCCGTCAGATTCTCCTTATACATGGTCCCCTCACCAAACAGCAGGCCCAGGTTCACCCGCAGAGAGCCCCCTCCTGGGGACCGAAGAGAAGGTGCGTCTGTGAGCCTTTCCTCAACCCAAAGCCCGGTGAGCCCACGAGGCAGCGCCCTGGGAGCCCAGAGCCGCCAGCCGAAGGGGCGCTGGACACCCTGGAGCGGGTGAGACGGAGAAGAGACCTCTCCGGAGGACAGCCAGCCTCTCCGGGAAGAGTGGACACTGGTGCCCTCGGCAGAGGGATGATCCACCAGGCTGGCAATGCCAGCCTCTAGCTGGGGCTTGGCCCATTGCATCCCCAGTGCTGTGTGTGCTTGGGGAGGTGCCAGCTGGAGGCCAGTGGGCCCATCTGCCAGCCAGGACGCCCACCCAGGCCACCCCCCGGAAAGGGGAATGGCTGGAACTGGAGCCTACAGGGAGGACGCATGCCGGGAGCGAGTCACACACCTGGCTTCTTCCAGACCATCCTGATCCCACAGTGGAGTCCCTCCTACCCCACCCCACCCCCCGCCCCACCTGGGTTCCCAAGATCCTCCTCTGGCCCCATCAAGAGCTCGCTCTGAACTACCTTCGGGGGCACCAGGTAGTCAGCAGCGAAGGGCACAGAGAGGGTCAGATTACCAGCTGTATGGCTCTGGGCCTGTCACTCCCCCTCTCTGAGCCGGATAGAAAACACTAAAGCCCACTCCCAGGATTCTTGTGAGAATTCAGAAAACCCTGAGCATGACCCCGACACCAAACACTCAATAATAGACCACCGTGATTGATACAGAATCTAGAGTTTCAGAAATGAAGGGATTCCAGAAGGATCTAGCCAAGAGCTCCCCAAATTTCTCTTTCAAAATGTTGGTCATATTTGCAGATCATTTATTTAGTGTTTTTTATAAATGAAGTTATAGAAATTAATTCCAACCTCATCCTAAGCAAAAACCTCCATAGTGGTGTATTTCCCCCCAACACACTTTAAAATGAATAGCGGTGCTATTAAAATACAGTAGCCCGGCGGTGTAGCTCAGTGGTTGAGCGTTGGCCCATGCACCAAGAGATCACTGGTTCAATTCCTGGTCAGGACACATGCCCAGGCTTCAGACTCAATCCCCAGTAGGGGGCATGCAAGAGGCAGCTGATTGATGTTTCTCTCCCATCGATGTTTCTAGCTCTCTCTTCCTGTCCCTTCCTCTCTGTGAAATCAATAAAAATATGTGGGTTGTTGTTTTTAAAGGTGATGTTGGGGGGAAACCCTCGTAAAGCTGCTTTGAAGAACTCTGATCTAGCCCCAAGCCCAGCAGGAGTCCTGGCACCACACCTGAAGGGTGGGGCCTCCCGCCAGAGGAGCTGAAGCCAGATCTGTGCCTCACTAGCGTGTCCACGCCTTGGCCCCCGCCCAGCATAAGGGCCTGCATAGCTCTGTCCCATCTCTCCCAGCGGCTCTGCCTCGACTGCAGGATAAAGCTCAAATCCCTCCACCCAGATCCAGGGGTCCCCTCAGCCAACGCTCCTCAGTTCTACACAGAGTCACCCAGGCCCCGGGGAGGGAGGGGAGCTGCTGCTCCGTCTGCCTGGCTTCCCTGCCCCTGTGTGAGGCGCTCCTCACACTGGCTGGGACCCCATAGGGCGGACTCCTGACCCAGGCCAGGCCAACAAAGCAGCCAACAGCCTAGCCACTGGGAGCGGGCCAGGAGTGGACAGCAGCCCAGGCATGCCAGTGAGCACCGTCCTGGTAATTTTCTCTAGAACTCTAACTGAGAGGGACTTTGGGCCATTGGAATCTGGTACCCACCTCTGTCACCTGTTACAGAAAGGATGCCTGGAAACGAGGCCAGTTCTGAGAAATATGGACGTGAGCCCCCATGGCTTCATTTGAGGACCTGGGTCCATCTGTACTGAAGTCCATGACTGGACTCTTCATTGACATAAGCACAGGGGGAATAAAAGCTATTTTGCTCAACCACGTGGAATTGTGCTTCTGTTGCTTGCCACCTCAGAAAGCTGATACAGTGGAACAGAGAAAAGGGCCCAGAACTTGAAGCCAGCGGATCTTGGAGTTTCTCTGGTCCTTCCCTCTCTGTCCTCGGCTACCATCTCTGACATGGGGACAATAATGCCCACTGTGCCTGGCCGTGAAGGGGAGTCCAAGGGGAAGCAGACGTGGCCGTGCTCTGTGACTGTAAGCGACTAACTGAGGGTGCTGGACTCCTGCTAGGACTGTCCCACTGATCCGAACTACCCAGAATCCTCCTGGCACCCCAGGCCCACCCTGCCTCTCTGCCTTTGCACGAGGCAAATTATCACGCTGTCTTCTCCGTGAACGCCCTTTCCCCTCCCATCGCTCTAGACTCTTTCTTCACGGCCCACCTGCTCTATCCCCGCATCCATGAAGCCTCCTTAAAATGTTCCAGAACTCCTACCACTCCCTGCGGTCCAGGTTCCCACTGTGCGGTTTTCTATCTGCCATTCACCTTTATTTTACCTCCTGTTTCCGCCCCAATAAACACGTCTTAACGGAAGAGGCAGTCATCACTACCATTGGCAGGTGGTTAGCACGAAGCGAGAGGCCGTGTAGCTCAGTAGTCACACCGCACACACGGGGCCAGCGGGCCTGGGTCCCAATCCCAGCACGGCCGTTTGCAGGCCCTGTGGCTTGGAGAAGTTTACTTCCTGGGCCTCAGGGTCATTGGGGTGAAATGGAAATAGTAATAACAGTACTTGCATCGTAAGATCCTTTACAATAAATTAGTCAATGTTTGTAAAGCATTTGGGACAGGCCGTGGCGGAGGGTAGATGTGATCTAAGCGTTTCTTAAACAAAACAGTCAACTTACTGTAAAACCAAATACAGTGAAATGTAAAGACTAAATACAAGGAAAACAAAAGACAGCGGTTGAATTTTAGGAAGCTGCGACCCCTGCTGAAGACCCAGGACCTGAGGTTGTGTTTGCCTTTGTTGGAAGGGGGAGGAAGAGTGTCAGAGAGGCGTTTCAAACGTACTGGCACCAAACCGCCATCGGCGGATTGGAAGGAGGTGGAAGAGGGTCTCACTCTTGCAGAGCGGCCTGGGGATGTTTACTGTTCTCCCTGCCCCAAATCCTCCTATTTATGGGACTTCTCACTCGGGGTCCTGAGGGCGACAGCAACTTCCTTCCCAGATGCTCACCAGACCACAGGTGGGTGCCCTTCGCGGCTGCCTGCTGAGGGGCGTGAGGAGCACCTGGCTTGGAGCCTGCCAGGTCCCACTGGGCACGCTTGGGCAAGTTCCTGATCCTCCTGATTCTCTGTTTTCTCATCTATAAAACGGGGTCATGACTCTTTGCTCCGAGTTTGTGGCAAGCACTAAATGCATCCTTGCAGGCAAAGCACGCCGGCACAGTCCTGGATGACACGGAGCCCTGGGCAGGCGCTTGTGCACCAGGCTCCAGTGCCGAGAAGTGGTTTCTGGGCTTGTGGTAAAGCCGCTTAAAAGTTGGCCAGATTTCAGAAGATTCTGAGGAAGTAGAGAAGCGTGGGGGTAGAAAACAAGACTGAAGTAGGTGCTGTGGAGAATATAAAGCGCTTGATTTCCCCGGTCCACAGAGAAATGCAAATAAAAAGCACAATGGCAGGCCATTTTAACCTAATCGATTGGCAAAACCTAAAGTCTGACGGCACCCCACGTGGCTGAAGACATGGTGTCATGGGAACTCTGGTTCACAGTTATCGGAAATGTAAATTGATACAACTGGTCAGGAAAATGGTTTGCATGATCTCATTAGCATGAGCAAGCACTTGCCATGAGACCCGGCAATTTCACTGCTATGAACATGACAAAAGAAACTCTGCCACAGGTGTCCTAGAGATGTTTATAGCAGCATTGATTCCAATTACAAAGAACTGGAAACAACCTAAATATCCAACAGCAAAGGAATGGAAAAGTAAACAGCGGTAGAATTGCTCAATGTGAAACTGAAGCATAGCTTTACACCACAAAACAAATGACTCTCACAAACAAAATGCGAAATGAAGACAAGTTAGAAAAGAACACAATCCGTGTCACACACTCAGCATCAGGAAAAATTGCTCCATATGTTGTTTAGGTGAACTTACACGTGTCTGGAAAGCACAGAGATGTCCAAGCTGATGATAAACATCAAACTTCAAATAGTGTAGGAAAGCAGGGGATGTGATGAAAAGGGGTCTTTAGGAGTCTCAACACTTGGGGAAAACTGAGTGAAGTTCCCTTGAATGTTGATTACTATATTATTCTTCATACCTTTCGGTATGTCCAAACTATTTCATAGCTTTTTAAACGTAAGTGAATCTTAAGTTTGTCAAGTAAAATGTGGAGGGGGACTTTCACTTCTGGCTATAATGGAGTAGCTGGTATCAGACTCATTCCCCTACTGAGAACAATTACTAAGCAGGAAAAATACTGTGAGAAGGCATGAGAGAGCACCCAAGGTAGACAGTACTTGAGAGGACAGGGTGTCAAAGTGGAGGAAAATGCATTGAGATTCTGTGTGTAATTTCCTCTCAAATAATTCGCCAAGTCATTGCTAATGAGTTGCATACCAAGAAACCTAGCAGA